GTTACGGCTTTGATCCCGTTACACTAATCGTTTCCAACCCGTTTGGGAATATTGGCTAGAAACAGGATAATACCGAGCGCCGGTGTCTTCTGCAGCCTGCAACTTCTGTGCCAGCAAACGCTTTGTGCGACAGAAAATAAAATTATTTCTTATTTAGGATGTAGCAGTCCCGCAGCCGCTAACTCCCCAGAAACACAGGGAAAAGTTTTTCAGGGAAAACGCTCTCCCTCCGCCTGACAAGCGCACGCCGGTCTCTCCCAGCCCTTTTCCAGAAAAAAGATGGCTTTTGGAAATAGTATTTGAAAACCGATTATTCATAGCACTGCAGGAAAAAAAAAAAAGCAAAACTAACCAAGCATTTGCACGCTGGAGCACTCCGGTTTGGGTTTAAAGGCGCCAGCTTCACTCTCGTTTATGCTAGAAACTCTTGGGGCAGACCAAATCATTCCTGTCTGCAGGGAACTACTGCAAAAATCAGTAAATCTTTGGAAATTTATCAGTAAAATTAGTAAAAAAAAAAAATCAAAAAGTCGTGCTGTACAGGTGTAGAAATGCGGAGACATAAAAAATCAGATTCAGGAGAAATTAAGAGGTTTACTGGGTTGTGAAAAGAACTAGAGGGTTTTTAAAATTCATTTATTTAGAAAAGACCTTATGCAAAAAGCCCTTTTTGAACCTGTTTTGCAGGCTGCGATGCAGTGCAGGCTGCGATGCAGTCCCGAGGGCTGGGCTGTGATGGGGAAGGAGAGAAGAGCAATTGCAATTATTATCGTACAAATGCTAAAATAGTAGGGCTTCCTGGGATTTTTTTTTTTTTTTTGCTAGTCTTAATGTAATTGGTATTTTTCTTCAGGGTTAATTTCCCGGACTGATGTAAATGTAACAAAATCTCCATTTCCACTAATAATAATACTGTATCTCTGAAGAAAAGCTGAAAAATTTAAATATTGAAGCCCTAAAACCAGAAGGTAGATGAAAAGAAAGCATGAACATGCTGAAGAAAGAACTGGCCATAAAATTCGGATTTCTAAGCCTGATAGAAATGGCAGAAAGAATCTGCTCTTTGAGCTGCTCTGCCCTCCCCGCTGCGGTCCCCGCTCCCGAATTTGTACTGGAAGCGGCGTGCTGTTATTTCTTAGGATACCTGGAAGCAGACAGCAACGCTCGTTTGCTCTGCTACAGCCAGCTGCGTAGGGCTTCACTCGCTGCCTCGCGCTCACAAATACCGGCTCCATCCCGTCGTTTTACGTGGCCAGAAGTCCCCGAGTCCTGGGAGGACGTCGGGACGCGCGCGGCGGGCGAGGACCGGATCCCTGCCCCTGCTGCTGTCGGTACTGAAACAGCCGCTGGCGTCAGCGGGGAAGGGCGAGATGAGGCGTTCAAGCCGTAAAACCATTCCCGGATTACCGCAAATAGGTGCCGAATGGTGTTACCCAACCCGTAAGGTACTCCTTTCGCCGGCAGCTTGCAAAATTAATTCACGCCACGGCCCCAATCTTTGTGGGTTCTTTAAGGTTCGATACACGAGCTTGGTTTTGCAGTTGAGTCTGCGTTGCTGGTTGCATGTAAAGTCTGACCAGCTCACACCCAGACGGTCTATCACTTGGAATTAAATGCAAATAGAGAAAATCACGGAGCAAACCCGATTTGCGTTCCCTTCCTTTTCTAGTGACTTTGGTAAGAAATGAAAGTAAGGTGGTGTGGGGGGGGAAACTCTAGAAGAATGTGGCGATGAATGTGCAGCAGAGACGTACGGCTCTTAAACGGCGTTAGATGAAACCAGCATCTGTTTAGCACCGGGGACGGCAGCTCCAGAGCCCCATTCCCACGCCAAAGCAGCCGCCGCTTCCCAGTTTTTCCTCTTGCTGTTGCTCCGGAGGAGCGGCGAGCCGGTGCCGAACAGCGACAGTATACACCAGCAGCCTCGGCAGTACGTGTGAAGCAAGCTGGCGTTGCTTTTCTCCCAAATTATGAAAGTGTCCATTGATTCATTTTGGAAAGGAGAATGTTAAAATGACACGTGCGTTTAAAGTTTCTGGAGACGCCTATAGTATTCAAGTATATGTTTCAAATTGCATGGGAAGCCAAGTAAAATTAGTCAATTCCCGTGAGCAGGAAGGTCCAAAAAAAAAAAATTCTCCATCAGGCTGAATACTTTTTTTTGTTCTTATATACAAGGAGAAAAAGCTGCCTGTAATTTGCGTGAAAAATAGGGAACCTGAAATAGCAACGGTGCGTGTATAACGGGAGAAGATTATCGGTCGTATAGCGAGGCGCAGACCCAGCAGGTACCTGTACGTGTGGAGCCGAACTTCGTAGCTGTCCCGGCCAAAAGAATGGGATTAGACGCATGTGAATATTGCTCTTAGACAAGTGCCAGGTAACAACAGCAAATAATTTACGGACGGATCTTCCCATTTTCCAGGAGCTGCTTTTTGGAACGGGTTTGTGCTTGGACGGACGCTGGCAGCAGGGAGATGCGGAGTGAGAGCAGGAGTCCTCCAAGGGTTCCTTGGCTGTGAACATCAGCTAGCCCAGCCTGGACCATTTCTGTTTTCGTTTTCAGGTGGGAGCTCCAGTTCTTCGCCGGTGACCTCCAGCGGCGGGACACCCTCTCCTCTCAACCCCCTGCTTTCTCCGTCGTGCTCACCTCCTACGTTCCACTTGTCGGCGAGCAGCCTTGGCGTGTCGTGCCCCGAGACCTACCTACACAACCTCAACGTGCCCCTCTACTACAAGATTTGTCCTACGAGCTTCTTAAGGCAACAGTCTCTCATCTTTCCAAGCCACGAAAAACTGGGAGGCACCAACCCGCAGCTTGTACCCCACTTCATGGTGGATATGCCAAAACTATCTTCCCTCGGCATAACCAATCTGAAAAATGCTAAAGCTGAAGACTTAAGCGGGCAATGTCTACAAGTACCCAATTCTGCTAGTCAAATGCTGTACGGATTACATGCATCTGGAAACATTTTCCCATCAAGTCCCATTGCTCGGGAAGCACTTAATTGTTCTTTACATCCTCCATATGGCCTGTACGGTTATAACTTCTCTGTGCCATCCAGACTGATGAATGCAGCAAGCCATTTCAAAGTGAGTGACAGCGTTCCAGCTTCTTTGAGAGATGGCAGATGTAATCACTCTAACTGGCACCCGACAATTAACCATTGCCTTTAGTGGAATTATGTAATATTTCTAAGCATTGATATGTAAAGCAAGCCTTTCCTTCCTTCATACCCACGGGCTTGCTAGTCATTGACTATGAAATACTGCATGGTACAGGAGCGGTGTGCCTAGGCATTTAACTTCATTTTTTTTTTTTGTGGACAGACGCGTCCTGTTGTTGGGAGGGTGGAGGATCTGGGAGCGTGGAGGCTCTGAGGTGACCCGCAGCAAGGCGATACCTTTTGGTGATATTTATGTCACGGTTGTAGGTTAAGAGTAAACTGTACAGTCACCTTTTTTTAATATTTGCACTCTGAAGTGGGAACGTAGACGTATACATTTCTACAGATATGTTTTCCTGAAACTATCTAGCTTGCCTTTAGTCGGCTCAAAGCCCTCGTGAGCTTCTGCTCGCCCTACTGGAGTTTTTCCACTGATTTCAAAGGGACTCTCCAAGACCTTGAGTCAGCGAAGGAGCCGTATTTGGCCGAGCGCTTGAGCATCTTCTTAAGTTCCCTTGGCTTTAACGGGTCCTAACTAATGACATGAAAGTGCCTTGTTGCTCCAGGACCCAGATGACTCAGTTATCGGAGCGGGGATGTAAATTCAAGTATCTGCCGCCGAGGTGAGGAAAGCCGGGATAAAAGGCAGATGTGTTCCTACCTTGTGGGGATGAGAGAGTGGAGCCTGACGCAGGGGTGCCCCAAGACCCCTCCTCCCCGTGCTCCTGCTCCTGGAGGTCTCCAGGAGGTGGGAGTGCAGAGCAGCACCAGCACCGACGGCGTGGTGGGAAGGAGCAGGGGCCGGGGGGTCACGCATCTCCCCCCCGGCGGCCAGATCCACGCTGGGGGACCTGGGAGACACATCTGGGAGAGCTGTGTGGGATGAAACACCTCCGGGAGCCCCGCAGGACACTGCTCCTACCCAGCACTTTCAGCCCCGGCGGACACAGAAGATCCAGCTGGGATGGCATCCGCCAGCCTCTGCCCGAGGGAAGGGGCAGGGATGCTCCTGGCTCGGTCCCGTGGAGAACGCAGAACCTTTCCGGAGAGTTACAACTCTCCGAAACACAAGATTTTTCAATTCCTTCCAAAAGTCCTGTTTGTTTTATTATAACCTGTGGATATTCTTGTTATTCCTGTAAATAATCTCGGGCTCCCAAGGGCACAGTATAACTTGCAATAAATTGGGGCACAGATTTTATTCTTTATTTGCTCAATGCTCCATCCCTACCCAAAGCCAATTTTATTACCTGATATATGACAGAGATTTGAAAATAATGCTTGACTGGGACCGGCCGCATTTTGGGATTAAGATAAGAGAATTCTGTATTTACAAACATAACACAGCACTATATAGGGATTAAGCGCAGGTTTAAGAATCAAAATCGGTATCAGAGTTTTGGTTTTATTTTCATCCATAACAGACAATAAATTAAGAACAGAACAAGCAATATCGAAAGCTGTTAAAAATAACAAAAAGTCGCACTTTTGCTTTCATGAGACTTTGCAAAAAATCAACGACCATTGGCTTCCCTAATTTATCTGCTTTGTTCGCAGAGCCCCCAGCGATACCAGTATGTAGCGGTGGGCTGTCCTTGCCTTGCTAAACGCTCTGTACAACTGTAAAAATGAACAAACCTGCTTTCTCGTGCTGTTTCTTAGCAGTTTATCTCACTATTTTTATTAAAAAAAAAGGAAACTTTTTTTCTTCATTTGGGAGTCCTTATTTCCAAGCCGTCCCTCGTCATCGGCGGTGGCCGAGTGCCCGCGGGCGAGCCCGCTGCAGGCGCTGGGACGGGCTCTGCAAAGCGCTGCAGATCCCTGCTCCCCGGGACGAATCCCGTGGCCCGAGTGACCGAGTACCGGCCCCCACATGCGGTTAAGCTTTTGGGGAGCTCAGGTCACGGATTCGTGGGTGGATGCAATGGGTAACTTCCAATTTTCCAAATATTTGCATAAGATATTCCAGAGTCGCTGGCCATGAGCTGGTGATCCAACGGGTCGATGTCTGTCTAGCTGCAAATGGGACTGATAAGGAGTAGAACAGATATTTTCAGTACGCACAGTTTTACAGCGATTGATGTTTAAATTTGGATGAGACGACTTCCATCTACCACAGCTGAGCAAATGCTCTTTTTGACGAGTCCCACCTCATTCCTACTCGGAGCACGTTTGCAACCAGGCACAGGGCTTCCCGGAGCTGAATGTTTATTCTGCGCCTTTTGGTGTGAAACGACAAACCCAGCGCTGGGGTGAGACGCTCCAATAGCGAGCGCTAATTCCGGTGGAATTGGGTTGGGTTCCCATGGCCCGGTCCTGTTGGAGCACGGTTTGTGCCACCCTCCCCGATCACAGCCACGTGGAAAACAGATCCAGAGCCCGGTGCCTGCAAGGGATGCGCGACACCGGCACCCGTGTCCCTTGGGTGCTGGCACCGAGCTGCGGGCAGGCTGCAGCGCTCATCAGCGTTGGCGAGGCAGACGGACAAACACCGACCGGCTCCGAAGGAGAGGTCAGCGCGGCATGAGAGACACTGCCAGATCTGGGTTATCTGAGGTTACTTTCTATTTCCTTTGCCTTTAGCTCCTGATTTCTCCTTTCAAACATCACTGTGATAATAAAAAAAAATAGTTGGTGGCTCTTTACAGAACAAATCACTTTTTTCAGGCAGTCGTAGGTCTCTGTCTTGATGCCCACGTTGTCACCTCAGACCTGGCCAAGGCTCCCCGACCGTCCCGGCACGGCAGTATTTTCCATACCCGCAATGGTAATTCAGCCGAATCGTTCACGCTGTAACATAGATGCTTCTGCTTATACGAGAAAAACCGTGCCCAAAATCACGGACAACCTGCATGCTACTTTCTAGGGGTGCTTCGGAAAACGGCTGCTGGCGAGAGGTGAGCGGCAGAACTCGAGAGAGTAAGCCAGTGTAATAAATTATTAGCTATTAAATGGGAAACTGGGGGAATCGAGGTCCATATTTCAAGCGGGACCACGCGCCTGTAAATACCAATACGTTGCGTGCTGCTTTGTACTTCCTCCCATTAACTTTATTTGGAGACCTGTGGCAGTTGCAAAAGTTCACAGTTCTTTAGACTCAGGGGATGAATGCAAATATAAACCCAGTATTATGGTGCTATTTTTTTAAATGGGAACAGGGGGAAAATAATCGAAGTTTTTTTTAAAGATTAAACTTGCTGAAGAATCTCAGCGATTAGTCATTTGACCTTTCCCAAGAGGAGTTTGAAATTACTGGGGAATATCTGATCCCATTTATAGCACTCGGCGAATAAAACCGGCCGTACCGCGGGCGCCACGTCCCTGCTCGCCACTGGGACGTGGGATGGGCTCGGTGCTCACACACCGAGAGGTTGATTTAAAAACCAAAGAGACAAAAAGCCCCAGCATTAATGTTTTTAATCAAAGTGCGGTTTACTATCCAGTTTCACCCAAACTCAGTACATCTCTTGGAGAAGCCAAACGTGTAGAGGGAGCGTCGGATGTAGCTTTTTCTGATGGAAGCGCCTCGGTTTACATTTGATCTTCTGAGGTTTGGTCTGTAATTAGATGATAATTTGTATCACAATTATGCAAAACAAACGAGGATTGGGTAGCAAGATAGCCCAGAACAAATAAGCACCCAGAACATTTGAAATGCATCCAGTATTGAAATGATGTACATGTGTGGCTGGGGCCGGGGGGACATGCTGTTCCAATAAAGCTGCAGAAAGGGAAAAGGCCGGTATCGGTTCCTACAAAAGTTTCAAATGCTCATGTTTACAAATTTGTATTGCACATTAATATGTAAACACACGCTATTGGAACCAGATGACTCCGCAATATTTACGTGTTCTTTCTTAGTTTCGTGTGCTTGTCTCCCAGAATACACAAAATATGCAGTGAATCTTTTAAAACATTGCTCGGAAAGCTAAATAAGAGGTACGGCATATGAAGGCATAATTTTAAAATCACCGGCGCTGCGGCGGCTCTCCGGCCCCTGGATGTATTTTGGGTACCGGGCGCAGGGGGACGTGTCCCCCGACTCCTCCGGGGCCGTGCTATGAGCACGCCGTGGCTGGAGCCGCGCTTTGTAGCGCCGCAAGTGGTACCTCGTTCCTTGGCGTTTACGCACGGAATGTATTTCACAATTTTCTTTATCGCCGTGTCACTCGGAGGCACCGGAGCCATGGCAGGCGGCCACGGCATCGCCCGGCCACGGCAGCAGGCCCC